ATTTTACAATGCTTTATCCTTCGCCATGGTGCACCTCGAGAGCTCCTTAGTAACAGAGGCCGCGCTTTCCTCTCTCAGGTCGTCGAAACTCTGCTTTCGGAATGCCGCGTCATTCATCGGAAAACGACAGCATACCACCTGCAGACTAACTGGCTAACAGAACGGTTCAACTGCTTGCTAGGTGATATGCTCTCAATGTACGTGGCATCTGATCATCGCAACTGGGACCGTGTTCTCTCATACGTCACGTTCGCATATAACACCGCAATACAAACCACCACGGGATTCTCACCTTTCTTTCTTCTTTACGGACGTGAGCCTTCCCATACAATTGATACCCTACTTCCCTACCGTCTTGATGCTTCCGAGTGTCCACCTATCTGCGATGCTGCTCGACAAGCCGAAGAGTGCCGCCAGCTCGCCCGTGCGTTCACCTCGGAAGAGCAACAACGCCAGAAAGAAAACCGTAGCACCTCTCTTCCAGATCCCAGCTATGCCCCAGGGTCTCTTGTGTGGCTTGCCATCCCATACCAAACTCCGGGACTCTCTTTGCAACTTGTCCCCCGGTACGAGGGGCCTTACACCGTTTTGGAGAAAATCTCTCCTGTTAATTTCCTAATTGAACCAGTTTCCCCATCAGACCACATGCGCCGGCGTGCACATGACATCGTCCATGTTTCCCGGCTGAAACCGTACCATGAGCCTCTGCCTGAACCTTCTTAAGTCGCCAGGATGGCTCCTTTTTCAGCGGGGGCGATTGTGAAGAAGATGTGCCTGCAGCGAGCAGCATCACCAACGCCCGGCTCTCTCGTCTCGTGCTTCGGCTCGCTGCTGTGCTGGTCTCTGCTGGACGGTTCATCACGCTGTCTTGCCGTTGTCGTTAACTACTAATAAACCTCTGCACACACCGTTTCAATTATACGTATTCTCTCAACAACTGTCCATTGACTGAGGTTGACGAATATAAATATTTGTGTGTCACAATTACAAGCCAGCTAACATGGTCAAGCCACATAAATAAAACGTGCTCATCTGCTTCTAGAAAGGATTTGGGTGCACGTTAAAGAACCCCAGGTGGTCAAAATTTCCGGAGTCCTCCACTACGCCGTCTCTCATAATCATATGGTGGTTTTGGGACATTAAACCCCACAAATCAATCAATCAATGCTTCTAGAAAGCCTGGTTTTTTTGAGACACAAATTAAAAACAGCGCCCTCAGAAATCAAAATGTTGGCCTGCAATGCTTTTATAAGACCAAAGTTAGATTATGCTAGTGTCGTTTGGGACCCACGTATAAAGAAAGATGTTAAGAAGCTTGAGATGGTGCAGCGAAAGGAGGTTCGCTTTATCTTTAATGCCTACCACGGAAATGACTCGCCAACAATGATCATGGCTATTGATGATATCCCTACTTTACAATACCGAAGAGCTGTTGCCCAACTGAAATTTCTACACTCACTTTATTTCCGTAAATTTAACATTCGTCCAGAAACTTATATAAGAAATCGAATCTCAAGACAAACTCGACATACTCACAGTTACACTCTTGAACCTTACTTCGCACGTACTAATCTTTTCATGAACTCGTTCTTTCCTCGGACGATCAATGATTGGAACGTGTTACCTTTTGAAGCATTCTGTGATAACGAAAATCGTGACTTCAATAACTATGTCTTTCCATTTTTAACCGTACAACTCAAGATCTCAGACTGTCTCACGTTGTATCTGATTTGCATTCTCCGGTTGCAATTTGCAATTTCTTGCTGCCATTTAATTTTGTTCAAATGTTATCCCGTGTCTTACTGCATTAACATGTTTTTATTGCTTGAACTTTCTTTTTATTTAAGTGACATTGTGAATCACTTTTTATTATGCCCCCATGCTTGGTCTTTCATCCGTAGTATTCTGTAAATAAATAAATAAATAAATAAATTGGACGGCCCACTCGTTACGCTATTCGCATTGTGTGACGCCACGTTGTTCTTTTGTTGTTCTAAAATGCTTTATTACTCATATTAACGCGATTCTTTTCTCGGCAGCAAGCCTGCCTAAGGCAAGTTTGCCAACAAGTCCCCAGCATCGGCGGACCCGGGTTTGAGCCCTACTGTGTCATTGGTACTAGTTTTTTTTTTTTTTTTATAATATCGCACAATGCGGCTACGGACACCAGTGGTAGCGGACAACTACGGCGCTGCGCGAGACCAGAGTTGTGATCTCATAACAGCTTTCATTGTAAAAATGCGAAAAAAGGAGCACATGTGGCCATATTACGATGTTTCCACGACCTCTACGCACCGTGATACAGAACAAAAGTCCATTGTGGAAGTTTTGGAGCCCGAAGTCATCAAAGCAAGCCAGACTGCTGTGTGAAGCCACGAGAGTTTATACTGTACCCCAATGTCAAGATATTTTGATAACGGCAGGTGTGCCATGAGAAAAGTGACTTTATTGTAAAGATAAAATATAAGCATCTGCTGAACCTCACACTTGCTTCCAGCCATCTCTATATACAGGATATTTGCATGGCTGTGAAAACAATCCTCCAAAGAACGGTGTCAGTACCCCTTTGGGAATGCTTATTAGATCAAGTGGCGCAAGATTATGAAGACAAGCCAGGAACATGCACATGAGACGAGCGCTAACTTCAAACTAAGTTGCATTCTCAGAATCTACGCCTGTTTATCGAAAATCAAAACACCACATCGTCACTCAAAAAAAAAAAAAAGAAGAAGCCAGCCCACAGTGAACCGCGTGATGACACATCTTTATTGGCTCTTATAACAAAAAATGATATACTATACACACGGCAACTACTGTAAGTTCGCAGAGAAAATATATTTTGATTTGGCTGCTGCATTCAGTGCAACACATTGCCAGAGGGCATTGCTTGTGCACTGAGTTTTGATTTCCCATCAGAGATGGGCGTTTCTCGTAATCTCTGAAGGCTGATGAGCTTACAGTACTACTGGTTATCTTGAACCTCAAGCAGGAGATCTCCGCTGACCATTCTGATGATCTTGTACCCTAGTTGTACCCTAGTCTCAAGGACTTTGAGACGACCAACAGAGAGATGACTCGTGGAGGCACATATGTTTTACCACTGCGGATTAGACAAAATCACGGGAAAGTTTCTTTTAATTTACAGAATAGTACCACGATTTCGTCGGTGTGCACCTTCTTTGAAGAATGCCAATCGAGTAGATGGGGAAAGGCAGATATTCCCGTAACTATATTGTTTCATTCAGCAGGAATGGCAGCCACCCACCTCGGAGCACAACTAAGGAATGCTGCAGAGCTAAAATTGTAAAGCTGCAGACGCCAACCGTACATTGCCGCTAAAACCCAACACATAATGCCCAAGGCAGGGCCCATACACAAAGCTGACCTTAGCAGCCAAAAAAGAAAGACGAAGTGGGCGAGAGAGACAGTAAAAGGCAACTGCGGGTTCATTCTCGGGGTGCCGTCTATGTGAAGCAAGAGAAAAAGAGGTGTGTTGCCTCTGCCGAAGCAGGGAGGGTGGGGGATCATTCCTTGGAATCCCCTCTTTCCTGGACATGGCTCAGCCACACACGGCGCGGCATGGGAGGGGGTCAACCCTCCCCTCTCCCATTGACTCAGGTCCGTGGTGACGCCAAATGCTTGCTTGCCCAGACGCCCCTGTGGGGGCTTGAATGAGCATGTGAGTTCTCTGTCTGTATTGAATTGCTTCCAAGTGGCATACATATGTTGAAAAGATGCCGTGAAAGAAAAAAAATAGATAGCTGAATGGTTATGTGCACACCTTTGGATGGTGAGATCGAATCTCACCTAGCCAAAATTTTTTTTTGTCAAGAATTTAAGTCTTTCAGAGTTGTCAGAATTTCAAAGTTGTTGCATCCCATGCCAGACAAACTGACGCACGCGTTTTGGAGACAAATGACAAGATGAAGACAAGGACGAAGAGAGCCAATTGATGGTGATAACTGTCTACGACACATGGCAAACCTCGAGCTTAATAGCTCTGCTGTAAAATATGGCTGTTCCTTTTGCACGCTCTCGGTCTCAATGCCGCATGCTTTTCTGTGTGCCTGGGGTGCACACTGAAGTGAGAACCAGGATGCATCGTAGTCACTTGAGAGGCGAATGGTACATTTTTGCACCTCACAAGGTTGCCCATTCGCCATGTTCTCGATGATTTACTTGGTGCATGCACCTGTTCAATGCTGTGGAATATTTGCAAAAGGAACGCCGTTCCCTCAAAAGCGTAACAAGTTACTGTTACAGTTCCATCAATCTTGAATGGAATGGCAGCGTTCCTCCTGAAAAAAAAACTAGTTTCTGGAAGACCATTCCTTGGAATACCATATAACACGCTGCACAGAGGTCAGAAACACATGTGCTTCTATGGAGTAACGGCAAAGAATATTAAAAACTTCTTAATGCTGAGGAATTCATTGTTTAGAAGGTTCTTTTAGGCAGGTTTAACTGTATCACATATCATTTTTAAGAATGAGCACACATCCCATGACCAAAATAACCTGTTCATTGTTGAAAAAAATTTAAACAAGACATGTTCAAATGTTTTGTTTGTTTTTTTTGTTGTTCAAAATGAACTGGAAACAACTTTGAATAGTAGCAAAATTTGACTTTCGGCAGAATAGACGTGACAATCTGTAAAATATGTTCTGTTTCGAAAGTTACTAAGCACGTAAGCCAGTACAATGACCTTCAAGCTTAAAAAATTATGAAGCGATGTGAGGACAATATGTTCATTTAACCTTAAGGTGAGGCTTCACGGCAATGCAGATTTTTCCCTAGTAGGTGCTCTCACGGGTTACAAGCGGACTATTTTACATCAGTTAATTTATTTTGAATACTTCGAAATTTCCAATAATTTAAATTTGAATAGAGGCAAATTTTAATACCAGAATATTCATTCAAATACTTCAAGTGTTCAAAAATTCACACAAGCCTTGATAGAAAACAGCTGAAAGTAAGACAAATGATGAGACAAAACTGACCAGCTTGAACCAGCGCCTGGAAACCTACTGCGAGGCGCCCCGGGTGGCTGAGCACTCGCACCCGTGCCCGGAACAGGCGCGTTGCCGTAGGACGCACATCTGATGGGCTGCACAGCACCGTTCCTCGTCGCAGCAGGGCACCTGCACTGGGTGCCAATGCCAGGGTGGCACTCTCCCCTGCACGCACCAAGCGGCAAGGCACTCGGTGCCGCTGCACCGACACGACCTGCACAGATGGTGGCACTCGTGCAGCTTAGTTCAGCACATCACTTCTGCTTTGATGTAATTCCTCTAAACAAACCGCACATACTAAATTGTGAAGGTTGGCTTGTTCCACCGCACAGCAATGAAAGTGGATTTTGGTGTTTGTTTCCCTGCTTATGGAGCAGGGGAAAAAAAAACAGCTTTGCGACACGGCTGAAAATGAATGAAATAGCAAAATACTGAAATGTCACCGGAAGGATGACAAGCAGCTCCAAATTTGTGGCGCACCGTTGAGGTGAAAAATGGGATGGTAGAAAATAATGTGCAGGCATACACGAGACAAGCGTGAAGTCCTGTCAGGGTCATTATGTCTCTGTGGTTGAGCAGCACACTACACGATTCGAATATGCAGGACTCGACGCTCTTAGATATTTATTTCCTTTAAACTGCAGCGCGTGGAGCAACCCGTCTGCATCTCCTGTCACGCAGTGACGTCTAACGCAATGCATTTTTTGTTAGGGGCAAAGCTGCTTAAGGCTGAGGCTTGTCCAGCTTTGGCATGCGCCGTAGTCGCTGCTGATGACAATGACGAACAAGTGCATTCCAGACCACACATTCTCTTTCTGCCATCATGGCACAGTACATGCAAGGTACCCACTACAGTCAAACATCTTTAGTAAGTGCCCACTTTAAACATACTAGCGGTCAAGACGCAGTCACGATGAATCCACGACCGAGTCTCATAGAGACTAATGCATTCGCAAACCGCTTAAGCCGTAGTGGTTGTTTATGTTAACCAGTTAGTGTGCACCACAATAACATTTTGTGCTGTAAAAGTTTACTGCGCCGATGAACTTGCAGACGCCACGATGTGCCGCAAACAGTGTTCCATCACTTTGATATGTGTGAAGATCAGACATTTAAGTATCCTGAGTTCCGCTTGATGGCGGCGATGGCTTTGCGGATAATTAAAGTAAAGAAAACAAAGGTGAGACGGCAACCACCGATAAACACACTGGTGCAACTTATCGCCAACAACAAGCCTTATTATATACCCAGGTATCTGCTTGGGCACACATGTAGCGTAGTGCCGCTTTGAGCCTACTCCACACTTTTATTAGGCAAATAATGCGCTGGACCAACAATTGCGCCTGCTCAACGTGTGGGAGCGCATTCAAACGCACATTGCTTTGCAGAAACACAAACAGCTTGCTGCGACGGAGTTTAGGGGTTCGGGTCCCTGTATGCGGAGTTCAGCAGTCTGGGTCGCGGGCACCAAGAAACCTTCCAGTATTGACACTCAAAGTGCACTGTACAGGGAGCGTAGTGCTGTTGTAACCGTACTGCGCGCTTTTATTAAGCACCAGCTCAAACGCACCTCTTCTCGCTGCCAGAATTGAGGAGTGCGCATCATTTTCAGAAAGCTCATCATCGCCGCGATAACCGAACAGGTTACTTTCTGCATCTGCAGTGATGCCACCAAGGTCTTCCGACTTGGAGCAATTTTCAGAGCAGCGAAATTTTCCATTTTGGAGCAATCTGGAGCAGCTAACTTCATATCCTGGAGGGTAAGCAAGTTGCATTTGCATTCAAAGGCATGAAAAATAAATTTGGGGCTCTTGTCTACAGTGAAGAACTTTTCCATTCATTTCATATTCCATTCATTTCAAATCTTATGAGGCCAGTCATCTTAGGAGCACTCCCTATTTTAGTTGATGACGCAAAAATAATAGCATCATTATGTTGGCCATCCTGAAAAAACTTGCTCAGCAATAATTTTCATCGGAAACAAACAAAAAACTGGTTAAATAAAATTGTACTTCATGAAATAACATCCTATACACCTATGCGGTTACCGGTATATATGGTAGACAAACGCTGAGACATACAACGCTAAAGACACACACAGTTGCAACTGTATTTCCTTAAGAAGACTTCAAGGATATTGAAAAGTTCTTTTTCTTTACAACCGAGTATACTGCTCGCCTTAACATGACATCATTTAGCTAGTCTCATAAAGCCAACCTCCTCCGGCACTCATCTCTCTGTGCTTAAACTACAAGACTAAACAAACTTCATTTTCCTTTTGCAGTGATGTTTTATGTGGATACGGCGTTATGTCTATAATCCAAACTCTCCCCTGTAGTGTTCTAGAGAGCAGTGCATAAAGAAGAAAAACCTCACAGGGTACCTTATGCATACACCTAGGACAACTAGAAGGCGACAGCCATTTTGTTTTTAATGTGATAGCAATTACAAGGACATTCTCGACTGGTCTTTGCTATCACCGGGAGCGAAGGTAAATTTTAACTTTTTCTTTTTTGGTTGGGGGGGGGGGGTGCACCTTGATCTGAAGGGGGAGAGGCATGCAAATGATAATATTGAGCTATATTTATGACATGGCAAAAAAATATTTCGGAGGGGAGGGCAAAGTCCCGATGTGCCCCCAACCGTCTGGCTATGTCACTGGCCGTCGCCGTCATGTTTTGTGTAATACCCAATCGATAATGTCTTCCCTCTGCCCCCCCCCCCCTCATCGTGTGTTTTACAAGCGGGCAAAAGTGCACAAGCAGGGGTGACAAACGCAGCTAAAGCAGAGATAAAAAAGTCACAGTGTAACAGCAAGGGCGAAACAATGAATGTGATAGCAACAACTTAGAATGTAATGCTGAGAACGGCAAGCAAATCAATATGTGCAGCAGGCTGATCACGCACAAATGACGCACGAAAACAACATACACAGGATGAGAGCGGACAAACAAAGTTTACCGCTCGACACTTAATGACTGTTTACACAAAAACGACGCAGGAAATGTAATCACAAGTACAGATGGGTGAAACTAACTAGTGTCCCAGTTGTTATATTTGGCTGTGTATGAAAAGTGCGCTCTTTTTGCAAATTCAGCCTGTACAGCCAGCGAAGTGACCTTTGTGATTGGCCCGGCAACTAATGCAATCGTTCCTGTGAAAGCCGAAGGCACATGATTTTCCCCACAGAAGGATAAGCGCGCGTGCACAAGCAACTACCTCCCCCCTACTCGCGCGGCAAAGTATGTGTGGAAGATAAGCATAGGTCGGCGCATCGTGACGAGCTGGGCGCCGAGCCCGGTAGTTTTTTTTTTTTGTTTCAGAAGTTTTCATAGAGATACGTATCCTATACGGTGAATCACGACGGTGATGGCCACAAAAACAAAACAAAAAAGACTGCTGAGCCTGTCTATATAATTGCTATCGCAATAGCATCACCCCGTGTGCCAGGCCTGCCATCGATTGTTGCTAAAGCAGAGAGGAAAGTGCCACCCATCTTCAAAAAGCAGGAAGGAACTAGGAAAGCAAGGGGGGAGGAACACTGTGATTAACTTTGGGTGTGATCACTGGCACTCGCACTGATTCGACAGGCATTAAAGACGGCTGTCATGGCCTTTTATCTTGTACTCTCAATGCGAACAGACTGTTGATATCGTATTCACTGCTAAGAGCCTAAGTGAAACTAACAAATAGTATCCTTTGGACACGACTTCGTATAACTCAGATGAACGCTGGCTTAAGGGACAATGATCACTCCTATTGCCGAAGCGGTTTTTGCGCCGTCAGTTATCTAAACGCGAAGCAGAGGTTATAGTAGTGCAGAAAGTTTACGAGCATGTCTCATTAGGCCTCAAGAAGCGTTTGGGCGAATACACCATTCAAGCGACGCGACTTCCGTCCCCCTCCCACCCAAAAAACGAAAAATGAAGCAATGAATGCGATGACGTTATGTTTAATTTTTTTAACCGTCAGCTATTGACCTTGGAAAGCCAAAGGCGGACTTGTAACAACGCGTAGCCGCTTAACCGTGGGTTTTCCGACTTCAAAGCCACCAGCAATAGCCTCCCTATTGAAAGCTGCGTATATTAAAACTGAATTCTCACTGCTCCGACCAGGAAGCATGCTTTTAATAATGAGATGGCAATAAAAAAAGCATGTGAACATTTTGAATACGGACCCTAGCAATCTCGAGTTCAAAATAGCAGGGTGTTTTAGGAGCTTTTACCGCAACAGCGATTACAAACGTGGATGTGCTGGTGGAAGGAATTACGAAAATGAACTTCTGAATGAAGATACATGAATAATGCATATTAAAGGAAAAGTGTCAATGAGTTTCCATCGTGTGCATATTTTTCTGTGGATGCAAAGTGCAGGAAATCAGACAGAAATATCAAGAAGTCCACTGACGAATCACCACCCTAGTTTCACACGCTGATTAGACTAGACATCATGAGCGTTTGCGGAGAGCCCGTTTCACTGTTAAGTGAACTTGCACAACAGAAGTTGAGCCAGCCCACATGGCATCGTGGATTACTTAGGAGGCATGCGCAACCACTGTTAATTCAGCGGAATAATTCTAGGCACGAGATTGTGGTTTTGGTGTGGCCTATTGCCGGTGATAGACGCTCCTAAATCAAATCCGACTTTGGCACAGTTTGGCGCAATTTTTGTTGATATTATCAGGATGACGCAGTAAATCTGATTTAGCGCACTATGGCACAGTTGGTTCAGGGGTGGGATCACTGCATTTGTGCCCGGTCTGGAGCGAAGTGGGCGTATTCTACAGCAAGCGAATCGGCAGTCACGATGGGCGCAGAGTAGGCGAAGCGCTGCACGCAACTAGCCAGAAGACGATTTGGCTCTCCATGGCCATACCGCGTTTTGAAAAAACTGTCCCAGTTTTCCCTTAGAAGCAGACTGTGGAACACACGTGTCACAGACAGCTGGTTATATCTGTTCTGTCACTATGCCATGCTCTGTATTCAGGCCCTCACGTAGTTTTGAAATGCACCTAATAGCATTTTTCACTGGGAAATCCAGAGTGGCCGCTAAAATCTTGGAGCAAGCACCCGGATTGCACCAAGCCAAATCTGTCAGTGAAACACACGAGTGCCCCGCGGGAGGTCGTTCTGAAAGTTGTTTGCATATACGTCACTAAACCGGTTCCAGAAATGATTTTCTTTCCTGCTCTCTACGTTTCCATGACACATTTGTCACCACTGCAGAGCGTGCATTTCGACCACGCTGTCGCGGAAAGCAGGGGTACCGTTTTCTTGTGTTGTGCTGACAAACATGGACGAGCACATGAAAATTTATCTGGCTGTGCATCGGCTGCTATTGGGCGTGCTCGTCACTGGACAGCAGTTCCCGTAGTTCCTCCACAGCAGTGTGAGCACAGCCATTTTGCAAAGGTCAGCCCACGAACAATGACAGAAGTGAGTTATGCTGCTCATCACACTTCCGCCCGAGTTTGCGACTTCGCGGCGAAAGGAGCAATTCTCCTCGGAGCCAGTTGCTCTGAAACACTACCAGTGGAAAGTGTGGACCCACTCCACATCTACCCAAGAAATTCAAATTCGTCGCCACGGAGCAAGAAAACCTGCTCCGGATTTACCAGTGCGAAACGCCTTTAGCGTCCTCACCGCATGCTATCAGAAGGTTGTGTGAAAGTAACAGACAGAATATTTTCTGCGCTTAGGAAAAAATAAATAGCTTTGCAGTGGGCACTATGCAATATTTGCTTTGGTACAGTAGCTATTACTTTATTGGCGGCGATGGTGCACGTCAGAAGATGCAAACTTGTTGCTGGGGGTAAATGAGTAGTATGCTTAGTGCGTAGTACTCATTGACCATTTTTCGTCCACTTCTCTTTCTTCACATTTACCTTACAATTACTTTGTATAACATCTTCTATACTTCTATTGGCATGATTTTCATTTAGATCTCATTAAAATTGAGTGTAACAAAGGAAAATCAGCCCTTAAGTGTACCCTTCTTTCCATCATTTATAGCAAGGGTCTCGTTTTGGCAGACTTCATGTCATCAGGTAGTATATATGAGGGAATATTCGTCAGCTGCAAGCTCGTAATAAGATCACGTTGGCATGATTGTCTGTTAGACCTCATTAATATTGTGCGTAACAAAAGAAAACAGGCCCTTAGGTGTACTCTTCTTTCCTTCATTTGTACCGCTGTCATAATTCGACACTGACCCTGACTGGATGAAAGCTGCCATCGTGGCTGGGTCCTGCCAGAAGTCGGTCGTTTTCGTGGAGCACGCCCCGTGTCAGCAGGCCCCCCACAACAGGGCCAACATCGGGCACCTGGAAGGTTTCGTCAATCTGCACAGCCATAAATGGTGATTAAGACCTCAAAAGACACAATCCATGCCATAAATTACCAGTCTCATTCAATACCATTGAATGCCATTCAGTTCTGTTGTGTATTTTTGAGCTATGTTTTCTTTTGAATAATAGAAAGTCTTTTCACAATTTGTGTTCACTTTTTTAGCTTGTTTTACGTCATTATCTCACACTTATACTCATAGTATTTTCACAGCCATTCTATTCCTATTAAAATTAATATTAATATTTTCTCATTGTTATTCCTGTTAAGACTTGTATAAAAATTGACAATTAGTTTATGTTTATTGTATGTATGAAAATCGTACCAAATCATGTATCTATTACTTTTATGCTCCCCTTACACAATGCCCTGTTGGGTCTGTAAGGTATTTTGAATAAATAAATAAATAAATAAATAAATACATGAAATTAAATTAGCTTAAAATTTGGACAGAAAGTTCTTTCTTTAAAAGGAGGGGGTACATGGCAATGATGGTATGTTGAATGTTCATGAACGAAATTTCAGCATGAAATTGACTCAATAACAAAAATTGAGCACAGGCTAACTTTTGTTTGCAATGGTTCATAGAACATCCATTTTCCTTTTATTTCTTGCATTACACACAGTTATGATTGCAGATCTGATTGCAGAACTAGCAAACTTTGGATAATGCATCCGAAGGTCACGCATATTTTTGACCTTCAATAACTTATTATTCGAAGGCCGCAGGTTTGGTCTCTGCCAGCGGCAAATTAACTTTTCTTTCTTTGCATTAATGTCATAACGACATGTCCCCTTGGTATCATTGTCTGCTAGTTCTCCTTATTATTAACCTGATGAAGTAGTTTGAATGAAGACTAACAACATTCCATACCTTGCACTAAAATGAAAAGCTGCATGTTTACAATTTGTTTACCTGCTTTGGAATCGGAAGCTAGTGATTCAACCCTCACCCTATCTTTCCTCTTCAACATCAACACTTACTTGCCACCACTATCTTACCTGATTCAGAGATGCCATATTTTACGAGAACGGATTTATTCAAATTTTCTTCTTTCTCATGCACTGCAAAAGATTGGAATGATTCTCAGTTGCCTTCCAATATGTTGTGATGCTTGCAAACTGCATTAGCTATGTTTATGTTTGCTTTGTTTGTTTTAGGGGCGAAGCTCCTTAAGAAGTGGGTCTATGTATGCATGTACGTAGTAACCACCTCACAGCATATCCACGGAGTGAGTGATGATGAGTGGGGTGAAGCTTCAGAGGGTTTTATCGGCAAACCATGAATCACCCACTGGCCACGTCCACCCGTCGTCTGTCTGTTTGACGGACAGGCAAACGCACGGACAGGTGGACAGACGGATGGATGCACGGACGGACGCACGGATTAACGAATGAACACTAGGACGGAGGGACACACGGACGGACGGATGCATGCACAGACGCAGGGACGGACGAACACAGGGATAGACGGATGGATGCATGGACTGACGATCAGACAGACGCATGAATGCATGGACGAAAGCAAGAACGAATGGGCGGACGGAAGCGCGGACGGACATTTCGCTCCACTCATCATCATTCACTCCATGGATATGCTGTGAGTTTTTTCCCGTTTTTTTGCCCTCACCTTGCTTGGACCTGTATAAGGTCTGCAGTACTGAATAAAGGAAGAAAGGAAAACATACTGGGCCAACCAATGTTGGACATTTATTTGAATTCCCCAAATATGTCATAAGGGCCTCGCCTGGAACTCGGGAGTGAGCCTCATGAGTCCGTCACGCTCCTTGGGTCCGTGACCAGGGGGCAGCACGTGCAGGAACGTGTACAGGAGGCCCAAGCCGTCTCCATGCACACATGAGACCAAGAAAACGGGCACCACACTGCCCTCCCGTACACGTGCTGCTGCCGTCAGTGCATCGTCCTCGGTGAGCACCTCCAGGGGAAGCTTCTTGAAGCCAGGCCCCTACATCACCAGTATCATCATCAGCCTGACTATGCCCACTGCCGGACAAAGGCCTCTCCCATGCCCTGCCAGTCAACCTGGTCATATGCTTGCTGCTGCCACTCTGTACCCGCAGACTTTTCAATATCACTGCCCTACCTAACTTTGTCTTACCTGCACGCATTTGCCTTCTCTTCAAATCCATTCAGTTACTCTAGATGACCCGTGGTTATCCTGCCTACATGCTGCGTGCCTTGCCCATGTCTATTTTTTCTTCTTGTTTTTAACTATGATGTCCTAAACAACCGCTTGTTCTCAGACCCATCTTGCTGTTTCCTTGACTCTAGAGGATACACCTATCATTTTCCTTTTCACTGCTCACAGCATTTTCCTCATTCTAAGTTGAACCCTCTTTGTAAGCCTCCCTATTTATGCTCCATAAGTAAGTACCGTAAAGATGCAGCTGTTATATACCTGATAGCGGGCAGCAATTGTCTTGGCCTCCTAGCCGTATGCGTTGCAGTGAATTGCCGTGTACATACCAGGGTATGTATACTCTCAGTAGAAAATGTGTTAAATGGAGTCGATGCTTAAGCTGCCTAAAATATGACTGCTTTCATCCTTAAATTTTGAACCTCTGTTAATTTCTTAGTAAACAAAACTCCTGATAAGGGAAAACGTGGGTCTTAAAAAGTGTTTTTTTTTAATTGTCGGGTAAACAGAATGAAGTTTAACACAGTTATTAGCTTTTTTTCTGCAGGTTACAAATCTCTGAGTAGATTTTTAACAGCTGCATTAGAAAAAGAGGTATGCTATTTTTACATTTTCTAGCATAATTCTCACGAGAGTATTAGGCAACTTCTCTTTGTAAAGTCCAAAAACAAAGTATATGGCAAGATTGCCAGACGCTGGTCAAGCCAATTATGCTATTTACTTTTTTATAATGTTGTGTACCAAATATAATTCTCAACAATCATAAAGTGCGTGAAGCAATACATTTTCACTTATATTTGCATAGGTTTATTCTACATACGAAATTTGATGAAAACAATCAAACTACCACATTCAATCAACTGTAACATGGCAAAAAAATTTTTCAGAAAGCGGCGGGGACTCACTCACAGGCCTGACGTGCCATTTTCCCTGACTGGGCCAGTGAATGCGAGAGGAGACTTTTCATTGCGTCCGCGACGAGAAAATACTGTTTTGGTATGCAATTGTAACTCAAGGGTCAAATATAGGTAGCGAAACTCCGGAAAAATATGCATGTTACATTCGAGTAAACATGGTAGCATCATTGGCTAGATTAGCTCTTTCAAAGTCCTGTTACATTTTTCATTTTTGTGCTTAGCAAAGCCAAGTTGCTAAAAAGCCTTAAAAGAAATATGCTCCCAGAAATTACATATCTTTCGTTTTAATGCAGATAATGAAAATCTATTTGAAGATTTGGAACCCGAAAAAACAACTAAATAAGTGTACTAAATTTCATTCAGTTAGCCCAATTAATACAGAAAAAATTTTCAAGACCCCCATTTCCTCTGTCTTAAACAGAATCGCTAAATAAACCCTGACACCAAATTGGGACTTGATGTGCTTAAAATTGCTTGACAGTCCTGCGTGTTTGATGGTCCTGCACTTCTGACTGATTAATACAGACGAGTGTTGCCTATAAGATATTTTAATTTGGTTTCAAAGTAAGGATGCGTGCTCATCCAAGTGTTCAGGTGCCATCGGCATTTCTTGTGGTTTCACATAGAAAAGGGCCCCTCGTGACGTTGCATAGGTCAAGCAAGTACTATTGTTGGCTTCAGAGAACATTTGCGGGGCATGCACAATATTCGGACTGCCACCAGGCAAGGCCTATTGTTCATCGCCCCTGTTGGTCTGTTGTTAGGCTGCTCTCAAGGTTGTTTTGTCTGCTTATGCCAAGAATGCTTTTTTTTTTCCTGAGGGGGACACACTCAAAGCACCCACATCGTTTTTTCTCCACCATTTTAAAACAGCGTGTTCAGTGTCACCAAAGCTTGAGTGCATGTAGTCTCAGGTGCTGCCCCGCTGTGGGGTGATAGTTTTTCATGGTATTTAGGCAAGCGTTTCAAAATGAAGCAAGATCATTTTGAATTAACAATGCTAGCATTACTTATACGATGTGTCAGAGCATTTATGATTAAATTTCTGCATTACCAGATGCAAAGCTACTATTACTGCAAAAAAGTAGCAAACAAAACTTTTGCTGTCAGGGTCCTTTATACCGGTGTCACACAGGTGTTTTGAAGGCCATTGAACAGATGGTCTATCGACTCAACTACAAGGACGAGCTGCCACACGGGCGATTTTGAAGCCTATCGAGTAAATGGTCTATCAAGTTAATGGAACACGCCACACCTCCGATGAAACTTCGATGGCTATTGAGCGACGGAAGCGGCAATAGCGCAAACGCGCACTCCAGTTACCAGCGTGCTCGAATCCCCGATAAGAAAAAAAAAATTTGCACTATTATGTTTTAAAAGTAGCATGTGTGGTCAGTATAAATTATCCGATGAAGTATTTCTGCCGTTTGAAATGTAGGAACAGCTCATACTCTCGACAACAGCGACATGCTGGCTACCCGTGCCCCTTATCGCCAGTCTGTTTCCGCTACCATATTGCGCACAGTGTTGTTAAGTAGTGTCCTTCTTTTTAAGTGTGTCTGTGTAGAACAGTGAGTTCTAGGACGCATTTATTTTTTCAGTGTATTTGCTTATTTTGTGTGTTTTGGCAAAATGGATGATGCATCACTGTGCCAATAAAAAAAAAAGCTGCACCATTACCCCGCCAGCTCTGGGGTGAGCAAGAGACAGCATTTCTCATCGACTTGTGGGGTGACTGCCTGGTAACGCGGAACGCCCATTTGAAAAATTTCTCGCCATGCAGTGGCATGGTCTCTTCAAACTAATGCGTCTGGTGAGAGAAAGACCACTTTTCTTTGTCTACACTGCGTTCGGTCACCACGTCCATGGTCGCCATCAAATTGTTTACGAGCAGCAGCTCTTCTTCAACGACGTCGGCTTCCTCCTTCGCCTCTTCAATGCCAGCATTAAGCTGCATGATCACACCCATGTAAAAAATGATTCCAGCCTTCTCATCTCGAAATTCTGTTCCGTGGTTGCTCATGATGGCAGAAGCTTGCAAAGGAAGTCACGGTAGCCTCCGAAACATGTAAACACAAGCCACACTGCACAAACATAACCACAAAATGGCAGCTGCACCTGCTCATGTGCTGACAACATTGCCACAGTTTCGCTGCTTAATAACCTGAGAGCAAATAACAAATGCATGTGCGCATTTAGGTGCAAATCATTATTTCACTTACAATAAGATGAAAATGAAGCTAAATATTTGCAGCACCACCAAATTTTAGCGAATACCTTAACCACTTAACGGCCCTTGAAGGCTGCTGTGTAGCAGTGCGACAACTCTAACAATCCGATGGAGCTGTAGCATTTCAACGGCAGTCGACTCGATGACCTCTCAAAAGTGTCCATGTGACACCGGTATTAAACTGCCTTGAAAAAGATTATTTTTATGCTTGAATTTTGCATTCATGTTCATTTCCCAGTAAACGAAACCCCTATTAAACGAAACATACTTTTTTGGTTCCTTTCAGGTACTATTTACCGTATTTATTCCAATCTAAGTCAATAGCCTTTTTTCAAATTTCTTCGCATCAAACTCCAGGGTTGGCTTAGATTTAGCAGTGTTGAAAAACTCGCCAATTTCCATTGAGAAAAGCGGTGCAGAGCTAGTGCCACCTAGATGGTATTATAGCCATTAGTAGCCAAGCTAGCACCTGGCTTAAGTACACAGATGAGGCTGCCAATTTTATCATTGTGGCGAGTGTTGAGGCGAGCCGTTCGTCATTTTGAGTTGTTGTTTTGAGTGGTCTGTGTGTGGTGTCATTATAGTGTCGCTTATAAAAGAAAAGTTGACTTAGCCGCGGAGTCATTGTCCAACATTCAAGCTTGGCGGGACTTTGGAGTGAACGAAAAAAAAAAGGGCGTCGCTGGAAGGGCTACAGCGTGGGACAACCCAGGAACCTTGACTGTGCGCTCTTTTTAAGAAGTGCAGCATATCCGATGTGCCTGATGGACAAATAAGTCAGCGACGACGACTTGAAATGAGCATGGCACCTTTATGATAGAAATAACTACAAGCAGTGGGAAAAAAACGGCGACAAAGAAACACAAACAACAGGTCTAGCGGCTCTATGTTTCTTAAGTTATTTGCATCATGAACCAACTGCTTTCTTTGTTTCATCTTCATGTTCAATAAATGTTTTTTCTTTGTGAACGCTGTCTTCACTGTTTTGTTCGGCTTACATTCGAGGCATGTTTTTTGTTTTTTTCCGGGTTTCGGACATTTGGCGGTCGGCTTAGATTGAGTGTCGGCCTAGATTCGAGTAAATACAGCAACAAGAGCTTAGTCCATTGTAGTGACACATCATAGAGCCATGAAGTCACTATTCGGAATGTTTTTTTCTAAATTTCCGATTGACGAAACTTGCAGAGTTTATGTATGTTTGTGTACTAATGTCAAACATAAAACGATTGTTGTTTTTTTGGGTAATTCCACGAGACATAGAAGTGCTTGTCCACTCAACATTTCAACTTTGTCTAGTTTTGGATATTTTATATGTGCATATTCTAAGTGCCTGGAACTGAAAGTTTTATTCCTCAAAGATGCTACCAGCATACCGAGAAATATTTGAAGGTGGCAGCTCAAGCCTTTTGTCATTCTTTACTGCAATATTATTTGATTTCACCGCCTCATTGAATGTGAGCTACAATAAATGCTTATTAATTCAAACTGGGGGAAACATCCCGATAATTAAAATGTGTCGGTATCCATACCAGTTAACTAGACGCAAAACAAGAAAACAGCAGCATTCCTCAGGAAACAATTCAGATGCTGTGCCGGAGCCTTTGAACAAGCTGCAAACGATGCTCATGATAATGTTGTGATAGAAGAAGCACAAGCATATGCAAATTACTGATTCCTTTTAATTTTGCTTGTATAACTGTGTCCTGTAAATAAACATGTTTAAGAGCATCAGAATATATTTCACATTAAGGCTCACTGGTCACATCTTGTGTTTGCTTCTAATCAATTAATTCTGTCCGCCGTTAGAGCTCCATGAACATAGTTTACGACATAATCTTTCACCGAACATGTAGTAGCACATAATTCACGATAGCTAGTCCAGACGTGGCTCCATTCAGTGGCACAGTGTGGCGCAATATTCATTCGTATTCAAACACTTATATATTCTCCCTCGAGTTCGATTTAATGAGCTTTTACAGTCAAATGTGCCAAACATGTTTTCTGCCAGTTTTAATTTGTATGAATGTGAATTACATCTATGCTTTCATGCCGTCCACAAACACAAAAATTTTTTTGACAAATGGCAAACACTGCACAAATTGAAAAATAAAAAAAATAAAAATGTGAGCACAAAAAAATGAAATTGCAAAACTACGGTGCACTGAAGCGGTTTCGGTACGGGCAATAAATCAGGACAATGGCTTACCTTTAGCAGGCGGTGCAGCTGTGCCAGGGTCTTGGCCAATGTTGCCGAACCCACGGTGTCCACCTTGTTTACCACAATGGCCAGAGGCACCTGTGCAAGGACTCACTCCATTCTTGTGGCTACCAATACTCTCCTTCTTTATATTCCACTTCCTTCCAATTATGTCACACAGTAAAAGCTCGTTATAATGCACCTCGTTAATTCATATTTTCCTATAATTAGAACCAAGTGGCATGGTTCGGGAGAGCGCCATAGTATGTAATGTATAATCCCTTCAGCCGCTGTGTGTAAGCGTGTAGACAAACTTTAAAGGGGTGTATACAAGGATACTCCACATGAAAGGCCGAACACAGCAGACATTTAGAATATATTTAATTCACTTTCGAAGTGTACCTAAATGCTCATTCCCCCGATCGAGACCCACCACTAGCGTGTCCAACACTAATGCAGCTCTATAGGAAGGGCAACGAAAGTTGTAATGACATCACACCAGATCTGTAGTGACGTGTGCGAGCTTCGAAACTTTGCCTTCTCCGCAACACACATACCGGCAAAGCATGAGTTGCTACATCACCCACTGACAATTGCTTTGACAATTGCTTTGACAACTGTCGGTTCATTTGTTCTCGTGATGTTTGTGCAGTGTGTGAGTGCAAGAGCAGGCAATACTCAACTTGATGAGCGTCACAGCCTTGTGTGGTCATGTGACAAAGCCATCTACGCTGCTACGTCACTGCCCAACTTGGTGCCCAGAAACGAAAACCGAAAGTCATCTACATAAATAAGGCAATATTAAAGTATTTAGCAAAAATGCTTTAATCTTGGTGCATGTATCATGCTTCATAGAGCTATAAGAAACACAGCAAAAACACACAGGCCACAAGCTTGGTAGCACCACCCTTTCTATAAGTTCCTTCAGATGGCTTGAAACACAGTGTGCACATGCATGCAGCCATTCAGAGTGGAGAGGATCACTTCGCTTACCATGTTTGATTGTTCGACAGAAGCAATGTTTTTTTCTTTGCTCAAAAGGAACCCAACCACATGCATTGTGGGCCTAATGATTTGTTCTTTCTATGCAAGTATTGAAGCTAACTAGTTCAGGATAATTAAATATTAATTACACCCTGATTGAAATTAACTACTGAAACTCGCCCCAAACAGCACATCCCTTCATTTTCTCTCCTGGAATGTAATACTGAGTGCCCTGAATTCATGCCATGCAAATTTGATGCACTTGAAGACAGTGCATCATAATTCGTGCCTGAAGGGGCTAACTGCGGCAGACATGGCATGCGTGTTTACACATCTGTGCCCTACGTTTAGCAACTTTCTTGTGCTTGTCTCAGTGTTGAAAAGATCAAGCGAATTATTGCAGCCTTGCGATTGCTTAGACAGAGTTGCCAGTTCTGCTAATAATAAGTGCAATTTGGGCATCTGTTTTGGCCGAGTAGCTAGTATAATATTCCAGCCGCTTGTCATGTTTTCACGGGGGGTCTTATTTGCATTTTTTCTGCAAATAGTGGTCATCACCTTCACCAGTAGTGTGTTCCTCGATGACTGAGTAGTTGAGTGTTGAAGTCAAGTTTATGTTGATAGAAACAATCAGTAACCTTGATCATGTACAGGCAATCCCATGGAGACTATCCTGGATACATTTTTGTTCATAGATGTGGAAGCTTTCGCTGTACAAAATATTCAAGGGGATTTTTTACTAACTCTTTTTCCTATTCGAGCATTTTTTTAAATATATAGGTATATACAAATATTTTAGACACTGGGAAAAGCTATTAAGGCACTGCTTCTTTCGGACTTTCACACATCGTCAAGCCGCTTTTCTGGGGCTTCTTATGCGATGATTATTTGCTTGTTAGCATCTGACAACTCTACAATACTCGAACATGCGAAACTACACAATTTGCCGCAAGCTTACACCAAGACATCATCCTTGGCTTGTTTAAGGAGAAAGCACTCGAAATGTGTCACCACAACAGGACTGAAATCGTAGTCGGTTCCTGGATGCAGTGTTACTGAAATGATAATTACCGCTGCTGGTTGCCAATGGCTGTGCTTGGAAGCTTTGCTACTGCAAGCTGCATTCACATCGTGTGCGGCATGCATAAACACGCAAGTCAGCCCAAAATGTAGTGAAACAATGGCGATGGTTCTCTCGGGGGCACCAGATGTTTAAAGAAGAGCTTCTCTATTTAGCATGATCATGCACTACTGTTGAGCCTGAGTGCTGCCATTGGTGTTCCAAGTTCCAGGCCCAAATGGCTTTTGGCATTTCTCAAAGCACTGTAGAAGAAAGTGCTATTCTGCATGCCCCAAAAAATTAAATAAACAAAATAACAAGGACTCAAAGACTTAGTAATTGCAGAATAACACAAGTTTCTGAACAAGTTGCATGGCAGAATGCTGCGTGACTAAACTTTTATAAGTAACACTGACTGCCAAAGCTCTCATGGGCCTAGGTCTCAGGAGCTTGCTGCATACATGGCCAAACCAGAATGCCAGCAGCTAGCCTCCAACAGCTTCCTTAAAAGACCCAGTGAAGACGCACCAAAAGTTGCACTGTTACATTTCTCTGCAAACTAGGCTTGTGTGAATAGTAAGTTTTACGTGGCTTAGTTGAATAATTTCAAATTAAATTCAAATATATTATAAAAAGCATATTTGTCATGACCTAAGTAACCTGCACAATTTTTTTTTAATTGAAGCAAAGTGGTGGCTTAAACTCCTCAGGACCATATATTAAAGTTCTTGACTGAAGCAAAGTATGAGCAAATGCCTTTTTCTTTGGATCCGTGCAAAGTGGAAGCAACTTTTCATAGTAGCAGGATTTTACTTTCAGTAGAATGCCTGTAAATGTGTTACATTTTATTTAGATTCTTTTATATTTATAGCATATAAATTGACATGACAAGCTTTACCTTGAAGCTTAACCTTGAAGCTTAACAAGCTTAACCTTGAAGTGAAGCTTTGCAGCAGTATAAATTGCCCCTGGATATAAGTACTCATGGTACTGCACCACTTCAGCGCAGTGAAACAAAGTTTACAAAAAAAGTTATAAGCGGATTGATACTACAGTTGAACACGGATATCTATACAAAGTGTGTGATGTAGATAAAATTGAATCTGAACAAAACAAATCTGTTCGTTTCATTTTTTATCGCTATGACCATGATTTTTCTCCCTCATCTGCAATGAAATCTTTGAAGTTATCACCTTTGTGTATTAGGCGTGATATTGACTCACTGAAACTATTGCACTCTTACGTTCATTCGTCATGCCGGTTATCTAGCGACCATTATGTCGTGTATGCTAATGCTCTACCACCAAGAAGAGGTAACAATCTTAACATTACACCATTTTTCACACGTACTTACACGTTCGAATTTAGTTTTTTTCCAAGGACAATTGTTCACTGGAACAATTTACCTGGTTTTCTTCGTGAGATCGATATAACTGATTTCTTGGAGTCATTTCAGTGACCTTAATATTTTTTTCTCATTCTGTACCTGGTTGTGTGTAGGTGGTGACAATATTCATCTACAAAAAAAATTGTGATGTTGTTGTTCTTTGCTGATGTATTTATGTACCCCACTCCTGCAGTAGCCGCGAATTGAACTGCAGCATTTGAAAATAAATAACTAAATATATCGAGATTGAAGGGGATCGCGAATTCGTAAAATTCGTAAAAAAAATACAGGCCCCGAGAGCTTACCTGTAGTGGATTATCACCTACAACAGGCACATTCAAAAATGACAACTAATTCCACACACGCCACAACAAAATAATTTATTGTGCGAAAAAAAAATTGCTTATCTTGGCCTGCTTCATACTTGAAATGTTGAAGACGTTAGTCTCAATCTTATCAAGGCTGTCTAGGTGCGAAAGCCCAGTTCCCTTCATGTGGCCGATACAACGATGAATGATGCCGAACACTGCCGCCACTTCAGCGGCAGAGTACGCGCGTGCAGCCAGCGTCTCATCCGGACGATCCTCCTCATCTCATGAGCTGTCAGCCTGGGCATCCCGCGTCCCTGCAATCGCAGCTACTACGTCCTCATGAGCGAGGCTCGCATTGGCCTGGACTTTGCAGTTCGCTTCCACGAAATCAGCCACAGACACTTGGTGTGAAAGTGCTGCCGGAAAGCGGGACGACAACTCACGAAACGCGTCGTCTGTGTGCTCGTCGTCGTAGCCCTCACCGGTTTTTGCAAGTTCCACAGTCTCGAAGCCTCCCTTGCGGAGTAATTCACCACTGTGTCTGTCTTCACGTCTCGCCAGGAGTTGAAGATCTCCGCGGAAGAAAACTTAGCGGAGATGTCCGGCCACTCCTTCGTCATCTACTGCTGGATGTCCTGGCTGCTGACAGCTTCGCTTTCACCAGTAATGGTATTGCCAAGGATGTTATAGCGCTGCTTAAATCGGTTGGAGCACCTGTTGTTGTCGGCGAAGTTGTTTCACCGAGTGCAGCGGCACACCATTTGGCCTTGGCGATAAGCATTTGGTCATCCACCGGAATGTCTTTTGCGCGCACTTCTAAAAACAAGGCATGGAGTACCTTTTCTACATTACTGTGGGCAGGAGCGCGCTCATGACGGGTTCCCGAAGTTCGCTGCTTCGCCGCCTTTGCCTTTATATCTGCTTCGTTCTTCGACAGGGTACTCAAAGTGCTCCGTGTTATCTCGAAGTCGTTCGCAACGGTCGAACATTTCTTGCCCGCCTCAACACGTTGAATAGCCTTCAACTTCGTCGTTAAGTCAAGGGCCATAGCTACACGTAAAGTCAACAATTCAAGGAGTCTGCAGCGGCTTCCTACACCAAGCACGCAAAAGAGAAATGCTGCACATGTGGTAATACGTAGGCACGGCGCGATTGATTTATTGAGTGATTCTAGAAAGGAGGGAAGAAGGCACCTAATTTTTGTCTGCCTCTTGGGCGACATGGCGCAGTGCCTGACGCGCGAACGGAAGCAACAGAGCTCTCGTGACGCGATGGCCACCTGCGAGGGCAATAGCAAAAAGCGCGAGCTGAGGTTGGCTGATCAAAACTCGCAAAACAGCAACAAAAAAGTAAAAAAAAGTGAAAAGAGGAGGACGTCGGCTTCTTCGTTCCTGCCGACGAGTACGCGAAGAAAGAATGAGAAAGAAAAAAAGAAACAAGCTAAAAGAAAGCCGTTCCACAAGTTAGAGATTGTGCAGTCCAAGCCCTCTCGCCCTTACCTTTTCTTTGGTGGAGGCGTGGTGCCGCGTGAAGGTCGCCGGGCGCTGCGAGTGCCAAAATGCACTTTCCAACCCGCGCGTGGAACAGCGCTGCCGCGGATAACGCGGGGCGCGTCAAATGCCGAAGCGCACCTGCCAACTGCGCAGCATACGATACATCCGAAGGCTGGTAAAAATACCGTTCGATATAAACGTGCGAATTTCTATGCTTTTACAAAGGAATTTCAAGGGGATAACTTATGAGTTCGATATAACCGAAAATTCGATATATGTGGGTTGGATATATCTGTGTTCAACTGTATATACCTTTTCATTCATTTTTGAATACTTCATAGTTTAAATTAAAATCGAACAAAAATCAAATACTGTAATATTGGTTCAAACATTGAAGTTACTTGAGTATTCACACACACTGATTACAGTACTCCAAATAAAAAAGTGGCACCCACCTGAAGTGCCAGGGCAAGCAAGAGGTGGTCACGGCCCGTGCCAGTCAGCCCACTGGCGGCGTTCACAACCAACATGACAAAGTGTGGACTGTGGCCTAAAGGCAAAGAGCTTGTGTTATCTATGGGTGCACAATGACCACATGCCACTGAACCCAGACAAGCAATGCACAGCCCATGAATGATACCACACATTTCCACGGCTGCAACGCCTTCACACATTTAAGGTTCCTAAGGGGGGACGTGGCAATTAATACTATGTCTGTTATTTATTAAAAAAAATCGATAAAATATGGCACACTGATGTGATTTGTCATGATAATGTCATTAACAAAATCAGTTTTTAGGATAAGTTTTAATTTTTGTCTTTTGAGTTATGACATTTTAATAGATCCTTACATGGATCCCCAAATTAATTGGTTAACTAGACATAATTTTGGTAGCATTTTTGCCTATTCAGCAAGGCCCACTCTCTGCCACAATGCTATTCATTTATTTTTAACACGAACATGTTTTATGCTGGAGTTCACCACGATTCCACTGACGTATTTCCGCCACGAATACAACGTTGTAAAATGTGCAGTATCAGATTGAAAAAAAAAAAAAGAAAGAGATGGAAAGAATCTGTCACGCAAATTCGAACTGAACCTTTTGAATTGCAGCATGCGGTGCTAGCCACTACGCCACCAAGCGTAACATTACGGATGTGCTAAAGGCAAGCTATTAATATACACCATACACCATTTGGCGGTCCTCAGAGTTTCGACACTGTAGCGCGTTTTCGTTATCAGTAGCGAGATGACGTGACGGGCTTACGATCTGTGAGCTCTGAAGGGCCTCCCCGAAGCGCTGCCTCCATGGAGCATGGTCTCCCCTGCACGCACCTATCTGACTCGTGTAATTCGGGAGTGGACAAAAGTCACTTTTCTCCCTGTGCGGCCCGTTTACGAAAGGAGCGCGCCACTGACACTCGTACTCGTATTCACTCGTACTCGTATAGGACTACACTGAGTACTCGTATACGTACCCGTGTACGAGTACACTGAGTACTCGTATTTTAAAGGATTCCTTTTATTAGTTATTTGCATAAACACTGTTTTTTCGAAGTTAATAGCCATTTGCCATTCATCACACCAGGAGGACACTTTTTGTAGAGCATCATTTAACACGTGTTGGTCTGCGGGACAGCATATTTCGTTATAAAGTCACAGTCATCAGCGTAGAGTTTGATTTTAACAGGGATGCCATCAAAAATATCATTAATAAACAGGAGAAAAAGAAGTGGTCCTAGCACTGATCCCTGCGGAACGCCAGAGTCAACAAGCTGTCTATGTGAGCAGGAATCAGCAAAAACAACAAATTGTTCGCGTTTTGCGAGATATGCAGAAATCCAGTTAACTACTCGGGAATTATTGATTATTCTACCTATCTTATATATCAGTTTAGTGTGGGATACTTTATCAGAGGCTTTCGAAAAGTCCATAAAGATAATGTCAGTCTGTGTTCTACTATTTATTGATTTGGCAAACTCATGTATTGTTTCAACTAACTGAGTGTTTGTCGAATAACCTTTCTTAAAACCATGCAGGAATTTGGTAAGAACGTTGTAGTTGTCGAGAAATTTGCAGACGTGATTGTAAATGATATGTTCCAGAATCTTGCATACCATACATGTTAATGAAATTGGACGATAGTTTTTAACAGAGTTCTTATTTCCGGTCATGTGAACTGGTTTAATTCTAGCGGTTCCTCAGTCTCTTGGTATTTCTCCATTTTGTAAAGACTTGCAAAAAATGACTTGAAGATATTTTGACACCCACTCAGCGTACCTTTTCAAGAAGCTATTAGGAATATCATCAGGCCCTGGTGATTTTTTGGCATCAAGCCTTAGCAGAAGATTAAATATACCACTTTCAGAAACAATGACATCAGACATCGGTGGTAGGGATGCATGAAACACAGGTGATATACCATTATCTTCGGTGAACACCGATTTAAAATGGTTGTTAAAGACATGGGAAATTTTCGCACTATCGTGAGTTAGGCAGCCATCAACTTTGAATGTATCACATTCAGTGGAGTGTGGAGAAACCGAACGCTATAATTTCTCGGGAGACGTGGTTATAAAGCTTGGTAATGATTCACCGTAATAGCGCTTTTTATCAGCAGCTACTTGGTCTTTAATTTGTAAAGAAAGTTTCGACATTTCTCTTGCATTATAAATTATGTGCTGTTGTTTGTTAACCTTTTCTTTAAGCGCTACAGTCGCCTTTTAGATTGCAATGTCTCCCTCGAAATCTATGGGTTCTTACCCTTACATTTTTTTGCAATCTTGGGTACAAAACAATTGATACATTCATTCACAATTTGTTTAAATTTGTTCCAAAGGTGGTGTACATCACAAGTGCTATTGCAGAAATCATCAAAATTAAAGGAAAGCAGGTCAATTATTGACACATCGTCAGCGAGAGAGAAATTCGGAAATGACAAAATTGTACGATTATTGTTTATATAAGTATTGGCTAGGGAAAGCAACACTGCCTTGTGGTCTGAAATTCCCGGAACTACTTCGCAGTAACTTTTGGCTCTAATGGATTTACTTACTAGAAAGAGATCTAGTACTGATTTGAAATTTTCTTGGATTCTAGTAAAGTCTGTTACAATTTGAAATAGGTCAAAAGTGAACGTAATGTTTAGCATTGCTTCTCCCAAGTGATTGTTGTGATTATTGAGCGAGAAATTCGGCCAGTCTATATTCGGCAAGTTGAAATCTCCAGCCAGAATAACTTTGTCTCCAGGTTTTATATTCGAATGTAGATACTCCTTTAACGATTCCAACATGTCAATAGACGAGTTAGGGGGTCTATACATGACTGCTATTACATATTTAACCTTACCGTAGTACGCTTTGCAGAATATGCACTCAACGTCAGTCAAGTCAGACATTCTCACTATACGCAAACGTTCTTTAAAAAGAATGCAAACACCTTCTCCTTTGCTGCCTCGGTCTTTTCGAATTATAGTATATCGAGCAGGAACAAATTCGCTGTTGTATATTGATTCATGTAGCCAAGTCTCAGTGAGAACTGCGATGTCGGCATCATGTACTATTAATATACTTTCGAGTTCGGTAGCTTTATTGATTACACTTCTGCAGTTGATGTTTAATATTTTTAATGACTGATTTTTAGTGCTATGTTGTCATGCTGTTTTCTTATTCAGCCTAAACCGTGTCGCCTTTTCCTCGTTCCAACCAAAAAGCACACCGTCGAGGCTTAACTTGACGAAGAGTAATTTGACCTTAGCGCCTTGTTCTTTTTCTTGAGCTGCACTCCTCCATAACTGCTTGCAGATTTCCCGAATTCTCTTCGAAAAGTCATCAGAGAGTGAAAAATTGGTGTCCTTTAGTTGAGGAGAAACTTTTAGTACCGCCATTTTTTCACGGTAGTCGATGGACTTTACGATAACAGGTCGAGGTTTCTCAGACGTTTTTCGTCCAAGCCTGTGACACCTCTCATCGCTAACAAGAAAGTCAAACTGTGTTTTTGGCTGGAGAGACTCAATGGCGTTCTGGGTTTTGCCTTGCTGGCATCTTTCGAGACGTTCCTTAGCAGAAAGGCACTTGTATATAGGCTGCAGCTTGTGTGCAGGCGATGGTTACCCTTAGGCTGCCACAGCATTAAACATGCACTGTGATTTTGCACCAGTAGGGCAGTCATGGTGTGGCTCGTTATCAGTTGATGTGACACGACTAAAAGTAATGAAAAGTAGCCATGATGGCCTTTTCCATGGCAGGCACATCATTGGGATTACTTTTTATGGTCCATCCACAATAGTTAGTCAGCTTTTTATTTAAGTCATGTGTGAGACAGCCTCTTTGTCATGAGCGACAGCCGCGTGATTGAAAAACGAGGAAAACAACCAGTGTCCGAAGGCGCATGCTCGGAATGTTCGAGAACTCTGGGCATGAACACAGAGTCAAAGAGAAAGACGAGGAGGTAGTGAGCTAGGATTGTGTCGAGAAACTGGCGGAAGGTTGCATCGTTGGCACACACCGGCGACGGGAGCGACAGGCGTTCGGGTCAGCTGCCTGAGACGCGAGTGTCTCGAGGTGGCTGACGAAATCGGCAGTGACCGAAAAGAGGCTCTTCGGAGACGCAGCTGCCGTGCCCAGCGAGGACGAGCGTTCTCGGCGCAAGCCGCTTTTGGAAGCGAGCCACCCAAGACGATCTCCGGAGTGCCATGTCAACAATGGAACACCACGCCGGGTTAACGTAGCGGCGTACACGCACCGCAGCCTTGTGGTAGAGGTTCTTGAATGAGGAAAGTGAAGAGAAAAGCGCGGAGCTGTTATTGTCTTTCAATACGAAGGCACCGACACGGCTTCGCGTGGGGGAAGGGGGAGTGGGAGGTAAAGATTGAGGAGGAAAGTATAGGAGAGAAAGGACGCAGACGACTGTCTCGGACGCAGCCCGCACTACCGCCAAAAAAGAGAAAGCAGTCAGGCGAGCCTGACTGCTTTCTGGTAGGTGGTAGGTGTTCTGTGGCGAGCCGGCATGGGCGCGCCATGTGCGCGCTTTACATCCGGACTCACGCCGCAGCCTTGCAGCTTGCAGTCGTTGCAGTCTCTATGGTGTCAACGGCACACTGCGCACTTGTTGCAAGCTCCTCCCCCGTAGCATCGGCAGGCATCGGTCGTTGTGCTCGCAGCGTTCGTGCGTTCATAGTTAGGCCTGTCGCGCACCACAGCGCGCGACCGGTTTAACTCCGAACGCATGAACACTGCGAGCACAACGACCGATGCCTTGCAGCTTGCAGTCGTTGCAGTCTCTATGGTGTCAACGGCACACTGCGCACTTGTTGCAAGCTCCTCCCCCGTAGCATCGGCAAGCATCGGTCGTTGTGCTCGCAGTGTTTGTGCGTTCGGAGTTAGGCCGGTCGGGCGCTGTGGTGCGCGACAGGCCTAACTCCGAACGGCGGAGCTCACGGCGGAGCTCACGGATGTGGACATTGTCGCCGAAGCTACTGCTGAGCAGCCAAACGAAGTCTCTGCCGAGGTGGATCCCGCGAGCGCTGATGGTGCCCCGCTCCTGACATCAGCTGAGGTCGTAGCTGCCTTGGCCCTTAGGCGCCGCCACTGCGGCGCGATTGAAGGCACCGGCCTATCACTCATGGATCGCCTGGACTATATTGAGGACGCAGTCGTCAAACACACCATGGCCAACAAAAAGCAGGCTACTCTTTTTCAATATTTTAAACCAACACAATAAATACTATGTTTGAATCTTCAAGTGAGTATTTACTGCACCACGCTTGAACGGTTCGTTGGTTGTTTTCAGCAAGCTGTTGTTGGTTGTTTTCAGCAAGCTGTTGACCCATTTTTTTCATGATTTTTCTATATCGAATTCTAGATATATCGAACTATTTCGCGATTGCAGCACCATTCGATATATCGAGGTTCGACTGTATTTGTATATATTTTGGAGTGCCGTTTGTTTTCTGTGATAATTGTTTGTTCCTCTTTCGGGTCTGACTGAATCCATCGCGCGGGGCGAAACCCATATTCCGTAACACCCTTCCACTCATGCTGAGCCCTTTTTTTTTTTTTTCAACTAGGTTTAGTAAAGCCGTGCCCATTTTTTTTAACATTCTTGCTTTTGTATGGCTATAAAGCCATACACCTTATCCTCGCTGAGGGCAGTATAGGTGCGGCTTTCACCATCGCAAAGTACTATATTGCAGAAGCAGAGCTTGTGTTTTTGGAGCAACCACTCAAACACGATCTTTGCCACAATAGTTTCCATCTACCTCTTTCTTCTTTTGGCCCTGTGGTTCGTGTTTCTCATACCACACCCCATATCCATTTTCTTGAGATTTTGGTCTAAGAGTACAGCCATGGCAGTAGTTAGAGAAAATACAGTGGTCCAAGACCAGGCCTGAGTACAACTCAATGACACAGCCAGCCCCGATGTGGTTTGTGTGCCCTTTGTTATCCAAGTACTATCGTAAATGACATCAATGTTCCCTGGGACACATCCAAGGTCGCCATATATTCCACACATCTTCTCTGCACTTCCAGCCTCTATGCAGCAGGCTATGCTTGCAGTGCAGCCTCCAGTACGACTTGTGATGCAGTCCCCTATGGGAAATGTCCATGTGGGAAAAAATATCATTCAGTGCAGTTTGATTTTGGCCCATTGACTGCACAGCTCTCACTGCACGAAGATTAATCTCAAATGGGTTGACATGCTGAGGACCAGCACTCCTTGGAGATGACCACTCTTATTATTTCACAGAGGTCACATAGCACTTCCATACAATAAAACCTCATTATAACAAAGCAGGATATAACAAACTAATAGATATAACAAAGCAATTGTAGTAATTCCCCTTGAAATTTCCAGACACATGTATTTAAAACCTTGTTTTAACGAAGCAAACATTTCCTCACAATGAATATAACGAACCAATTTTCATTCACAATGAGCATTTACTGATCATTTTAGTATACGTCAATTCAATATCTTATAGCGCGCGACGGTTTACGTCTCATCACGGCTGCGGTAATCAAAACTCGGGCCTTGTGCACTCCGGGAGCCGCCTGCCAACACGCTTATGGGAGCGGGTCTTCCTGCCTCCCCTATTCTCAGGAACTAATGGACACGCCCGCACAGCAACTCGCGCAAGGTTGCGGGTCAGCCGGCCTCCCCTCTCCTGTAGAACTCGTTGACCCGCCCACGCATCTGAACTTCTTTTCCCCTTCAGCTACGCGCTAGGGTCTCGTGCTCCGCCGACGCGCAGAGATTGTGGCTTTCATACTTGTCGTTCGTTGTAAAAGAGCAACACCATCTCTATCAGTTTCTGCCGCTAGACATGAGATGAACAATCGCAGTGGCAAACGTAAGTGTAAAATTATAACAATCGAGCAGAAATCAGCAATGTTGAAAACCGTTGAGTCTGGCGTCACGAAAAAAAAGTGGTCGAAGATGTCGGTGATATCGCAAGTGGGTGCCGCGGGCGACAACCAAGCCCAAATGTTGTGGGACGCTCTCTTTGATGCCGGCGTTGTGCCCAACTGCAACACTTTCTGCATGTACACGTACGTCGGTGCCGATGCTGACGCGGTGACAACCAAAGAGTTGCCAGATGCAGAAATTGTACCCGCAGTGACGGACGCGCATCTGCAGCTAAATACTCGACGCGCAAACATTTACGGTTGCCGATGCCTTGTTGTTGCTGATCGCAGAATCGCGGTCACCACTGCTCGTGGACGCGCCAACACCACATGTGAATCCGTAAACTTGGCACGCGCACTCCTCAACACCGCACACGAACTTCTAAAAACCACACGCACACTCATCAACATTGCACGCTGAGGCATTGCACGCTGAGGCTGAGGCGATACAGCACCTGGGCATGTCGCAAGCGCTGTTCGCATCATCAATGCAGCACGCGCTGTCAACACGACCCGCGGTCAGTTTGTAATTGGCGCATACGAATGCGCTGTCGCAGTCAGACATGAGCGAGCTGTCCCTATCTCTCACGTGCACCAGCTTTTCCTGGTCAGCAAGGTCAGCGGTATTTGTTTCTGTGTCCAGTTCTCTCCTTTTATTCCATAGCGCTCACCGTTACCAATACGTAGGGACCGTTCGGTACTTCGCTCCGTAGGGGCTCATCGCAGAACACACATATTCGATCACATGTGCAATCAACTCAGAAATTAACAACACGCGCAGCAGCCAGGAGCAGCTTCTTTCTGTGCAAATGTGCACGAAAGCCATTCAAATCTTAGACAAATCGTAGACAAATCTTAGAAGCCCCAACATGACTACTGCAACCCATTGCAATGCCACTATTGCTCTTTTTCTCTTACTTTTCCTGGTTTTATTTTTCGTTGGAAAAATATGACGCTGCAGCTATCTTCAGCTGCGATTTCTCCTTTTCACAATGATACAAATATGGCGGTCCATCGTCGAGCGAGAGCCGCGGAATTCGCAGTACAGCGACACCTCCTGAAGACCGATTTTTTTCGCGTTTTTTGATGACAACACAGTGATAAAGTGCTGTTTTTTTTAATTACTACCACGTATTTCATTATAATAATTCATTACAAAGTAAAATAAGGTCCGAGTATCGCAAAAAAAAATCCCCCCAAAATGGACGATTCGGACCAATTTTACCGTTCTGTTACCATCCCCCCTTAAAGTGTAACCTAAAGAGATAGGAAGAGAGCAGGGTGGGTCAGTGAACAAGGTGATGTTAAGGACATCACAGTTGAAAACAAGAAGAATAAATAGACAAATAGCAAGGCAAATAGCGTGTAGGCAGGATAACTGCTGGTCATCAAGAGTAACTGACTGGATTCCCAGTGAAGGCAAACGCATGAGGGGGAGACAAAAAGTTAGGTGGGGTGATAATATTAACAAGTTTGGGATTACAAAGTGGTGTCAGCAAGCACAGGACTGGGTTGATTGGCAAAACATGGGAGAGGCCTTTGTCCTGCAGTGGGCATAATCAAGCTGCTGATGATGATAATGATAATGATGATACGTGGATGAACTTTAATCATAAATGTGCTAACCCCTGGCATTGTCCTGGACACATCTTCAGTGCTCGATACCAGAATACAGAGCTACGCCACAAGCCCTTAAAATTTTCGGTCTTCCATAAATGGCCCTGTTTGGCAGGGCGTGATTTATAAGGTGCAATGATAACTGAGTGAAATGACAGTCACAGATCACCTGTGAGTCCAAAGACAGTGGTGCGCAGGTACTTCTGGTGTCCAGCCAGGTCGATGAAAGTGATGAGTTTGGCCGAACGCTCGCAGAGTTCCTCTGCACTGCGACAGTGGTTGTATGTGACAGGCTGTCCCTGGCTCGTAAAACCCAGTATTTCACGGCTGATTGATGACGTATGCCCTGTTTGAATCTCATGCAGGTGCCTGCACATCCAGGACAGACAACACTGAAAGGCAACCTCAGCCAAATCCTAATTTACATTTACACTCGAGGGTGCACAAGAACATCAATGTATTAATGAGAACTGACAGACAAGGAGAGCCACTAGTAGCCTCATGGCTACCAGTGGCTACTAGTGGCGCTGACAAATGCTCCCAGGTTCAAATGCACATCTATATATCCCGTAATGTGGACGGGAGGATGGTCGCTGCTGTAGCTCAGCTGTGGTTCAGTCCCCACAAGCGGTAAGGGATCGTTCTGAAGATCAATTTTTTTCTTCACACTTTCATTACAATTACTGCATCCCTGTACTTTCCTTAGCATTGTTGTCTGTTCTCATTAATATTGTGTCTAAAAAAACATGACAGCTCCCTCACCTGAATAGGTTCAGCCGTGCACTGCCACGGCCGTTGTCCAGTTCTCCCTGTGTGAGCACACCCAGGACAGTGCTCTTGCCGACATCCACACTACCCAGTACGGCCACCCGAATCTCAATGCTCTGCTGGTCCTCCGGCACCTTGCGCACCAACACCTGTCGTACCAAAAACAGATGTCTGCAGAAGCCAAGCAAATGACAACAGCCAAGGTGGACAGGCACAAACCATATGAAGAGCTAACATTTTATGCAGTAGTGTGCCACGAACAGTGGTGACTCACAGCGTTTTTTATGCATTCATTTAAAACATTGTTTCTTACACTTACCTAGAGGGAAGACTGGTGCGGCGGGCTGTTGTACGTATGGAAATGCAGGGATATACGCGGTTCGAACTTGACTCGAATTGGCATTGTTTGCCAAAAGCCCACACACCTCCAAGATGTTCAACAATTTGCTTATGTAAAAATGGTTGATTTCTTACCGAAGGAGCACGTGATAAGCTACAGATGAATCCCACTATAACGTTGCTTCTACAACGAAATTTTCGCCACAATGAATGTTTTTCCATTCCCCACCAGCCGCCCGGAAAAAACAATGTAAAAAAATGTCTCATCGCAAAGAATACTCTTCCTGGATACTTCCGCTTCAACCAAGTTTTCGCAAGTACTACCACATAAGGAAAAGTAACTAGTCTAGGATTGCCTAGAAATTTTGCTAGCATGTCGAGCGTTTCTCGATTGATAGTATTGATTGATTGATATGTGGGGTTTAACGTCCCAAAACCACCATATGATTATGAGAGACACCGTAGTAGAGGGCTTCGGAGATTTAGACCACCTGGGGTTCTTTAACGTGCACCCTAGTCTGAGCACCCGGGCCTACAACATTTTCGCCTCCATCGGAAATGCAGCCGCCGCAGCCGGGATTCGAACCCGCGACCTGCGGGTCAGCAGCCGAGTACCTTAGCCACTAGACCACCGCTGCGGTGCACTTGTGACCGCAGCGGTGGTCTCGTGCACTTGTGACTTCCAGAGCGCCCTGGCCACATCGCAACACCTGTGACTTCATCAGAGATATGCATTCTGCCACTGCACATACATTCAAGTAAATTTTTGGCCATCGAGATGCTTGGTGACAGTTAGCCCATCCATGATGGATGAGCTAACTTGCCCCTTCATCATGGTGCATATTTGCCTTCTCCGGTTTGATGCACATGTGGGTCATGATAGAACTGTTCAAGAACACGCACCACGTTTTTTTACATTAAGTGCACTCAAAACAGAACTACCACTCGTCGACACTAGCCCTTCGATTGTAAATCACAACCACAGCACTATACAGGTGCATGTGCGACCAGAGCACACCTAGTTCAAGTGCAAGTATTATCAGCATCAAATGAAACCAAAACAGAGGCAAGCCTTCGCGATGGTAAAGTACGCGCCATCTACTAATCACCATGGACAGGCAAGCATATATGAGCAGAGCTGCCGAACAGGATGTGCATGCCTGTCAACGGTGATACCTGGACGGTTAGCACTATACCATTGTGAAGGCTTGCTGCTGTTCGGGTTTCATTTGACGGAGATAGTACACTCTGCCTCAACCACTGCGAACACAACATGCAGTCGTGTCGGCGATATCATGAGCGAGCACAAAAGTACACACACATTCATTCAATGCATGGAGACTCCAACTAACGCTGCTTGCTACAACGCTATGGTAAAAAACGCACCAATGCGATCGCAGACGCATTTAAATTGAACTGGCCATTTGCCGCAACCTCTGTGCAGGAAACCACAATAGCTATCGCGTTCATCAACAGCGAGTACTCTGTAGGTATGCAGCTAATAAAGCTGAAGATGAAAGGCAACGAAGCCGTAAAATTGCACGAAGCATTGCGGCTCCCCTGTCGTTCGCTTATGGCTAAGGTAGTGCGAAGCATCGGCACTTAGTTTTCAATTGGCTTCCAGCGAAGTTGATTGATTGATTGATATGTGGGGTTTAACGTCCCAAAACCACTATCTGATTATGAGAGACGCCGTAGTGGAGGGCTCCGGAAATTTAGACCACCTGGGGTTCTTTAACGTGCACCCAAATCTGAGCACACGGGCCTACAACATTTCCGCCTCCATCGGAAATGCAGCCGCCGCAGCCGGGATTCGAACCCGCGCCCTGCGGGTCAGCATTCCAGTGAAGTTATGGCATGCTAGTTCGTTGTGCTGAGCGCTCGGCATGCTCTAAGGGTCATCTGAATATCGTATTTTTTTTTCATGTATAACTCGCCCCTGTATATAACCGGCACTCCAGACAGCAAATCACGAGAAAAAAAACAAGTTCTCGCATACTATAGCAAAGTGGCCTTCCTTTCATTATCGTTAAGGCATGCCGTGAAGCCAACTTGCACCCCGCACTTTTCGTACAATTTGCACTCCGAGTTCTACCCCTGATGTACCAGCATGCAGTCTGGAAACTGTGGCCTCAATGTCAAGCATAAAAAAGGAGCATGTGATAATGAATGCCAGTCTTTCCATGTCAGCCTCTCGCTCTCTGTCATCAATCAAAACACCTGTCACACGGCAAAGCTAAATTCATTTTACCTGCCTGCTGTCACACGATAAAAACAAATACCATTTGGAAATGATGACCATGACCTTTGACCTTCCGAGCCATGACTGTGGGATAAGTAAAAACCTCTCAAGCCCTACATGCGTGTATTCTCAAAAATTATTTTGAGGATACACGCATGTATCCGGCAGTTGACACTGTCCATTTCGGACAGTGTCAACTGCCGATCGACGAACCCTGGGCGGATGAAGGTTGTGTCTACCAAGTACAAAAGCAGGACTGGATCAGTACATGCTTTGCCGTGTGACAGAACACCTGTCACACGGCAAAGCTAAATTCATTTGACCTGCCTGCTGTCGCACGATAAAAACAAATACCATTTGGAAATGATGACCATGACCTTTGCCCTTCCGAGCCATGACTGTGGGATAAGTAAAAACCTCTCAAGCCCTACATGCGTGTATCCTCAAAAATTATTTTTATCACGAAAAGGTGCCGCTAAAATGTGAACGCAGCCATTTCACAAAACTTGCACAACGCATATGAAGTACAGCCAAGTGACAGTCAAAAAACAACATGGCGGACAATATGACTCGGCATGAGTACGGTGATCTGAAGTGCAGTAGCACAGGGAACATCACGTAAAACGAGTGAAGCCCACTTTGTCGGCCAAACACCATCAAAACTTGCGATAGGTTTTAGTGCTCTCGGTGCTGTTCCGTCTTTGAACCAGCTGCGTGAGCCGGCTGGGCTGAGCCGAACCAGTGCGTTTTGATAAAATGCTATGGGCCCCATACTCCGCATATCGCTAAGTCTCATTGCTGGCGTGATCTTGCGGAAAAAAAGGTCATGTGTTGGGCCGACAATGCTAGCTTTAAAACAGCACGGCTTGCCAAGCCTGCCCGCATGACGTCGCGCTCCTCCTATCTTTTTCTTCCCCCATGCGTAGCACTGCTGACACCCCAACAGTAGAAATAAGGCAACAGCAGCTAATTGATGAAGTCAACACCTTGATCATTGAAACACATGCAATCAGATTATCAACACTCGCGATACAGGCAACAATGACAGTAGAGCACAAATTAAACATGGCTGGCGTCCACTTGCTGTAGTTGAGAGAAGCTTTCTTTTAGAAAGTTTTACGCGTGCTATTGCGCCCTCATTAATAAAGTAAAGAATAAGATAATTACGGATTACAAAAGTTATGTATATGTAAGTTAGAGGGACACTGACACCTTTTTTTTGGAGGCGAGTTTACTCAGTCATACAAATCTCCTGTATACAGAGATGGCTCTGAGCAAGCGCTCAGCAAATGCTGATGAGATCATTTATTTTCATATTAAAGTAAGATGTCTCACAGCACGCCTACGAACGGCACTAACTTGACGTCAGGCTACAGTACTAACGCAGCAGTCTGGAAAGTTATGATGATGTCACGCACCAAAATACAAGAACGCCATTTGCGTGTCGCCCTTTCGGTTGTCTGCCGTGCCGTGTGGTCATGCAATCACTGTCATCCAGTGTACCTGCAAAGCGAGCTAGCAGAGTTTGGAATATAGCGTACGTGTGCGTGAATACAATATATACGCCTATCATATGGCAAAAGAATGGTTTGTTTTCGAATTTGGCACCATGGCGACAATATTTTGCACTGTGATTTGGCTTGCACCAATGAAACGGGCGGCAATAGATGCAAGTTCCACCGATTCCAGTCCGATCTGGCGCTGAGGCAAGCGTGGGTCAATCTCGTGCACCGCGGCCAAGGAGGAGAATGGACGCCAACCAAGCAGAGTTTACCCCGTTCACTCCGGACATGCACAACATGCAGTTTCTGACCGACTTCTCATTGTCGACGAAAAACCTGCGGCTCAAAAAGCGCTGGACACATGGTGCGATTCGTCCTCCGATTCGGTGTGCGACAGCGCACACGGTGTATGACTATTCACGACACATGGGGAGAATGAGCGATCAGCACTCAGTCTCTGCCCACATATGGCATCTCAGCTTTCACGCCCCGAAGACATCGTATCCCCTTTATGAAGTTATTAAGCACAAAATAAACAACCTCACACAGCCATGCTTCGTTGTCTAATAACATTGCCAACAAAGCTGCCCCTTCGCGAGTGACAAACATCGTCGCAGCCCGCATTCATTTTCGACTACGAGCATAGGCATAGCAAGGCCGGCGTTCTCGGTGGCACCGCTCGCTTTTCAACGAGAGCTCATTATTGAGCACTTTCTTCCAACACGATAAAAAACTTGTACATTTATATGACGCCTCTAAATGTGCGACTGGTTTTCTCAACGGTCTCGATGTAAAGAGCAAAGGTAGGAACGAAGTGGGCCAGTTTTCAGAGACGGTCAGTGCCACTGTTTGTTTACCTGCGAATGGCCTGCCATCCCGGCTCGATATCCCATTGGTGGTTCGGAAGTTTCTTTGCAGAAATAGCTCGCTTCAAGCATCACTTTATTTAATCTTAAGTCATTTCGCGTCATAAACAGTTTATCCGATGTTTTAGGGGCAAAGCTCCTTAAGGCAGGGGCCTGTTCCATCCTCCGTCGTAGTCGTACGTAGCCACCGGGATGCGAGA